AAGACTCATTGCCGCAAAAAGAGGGCGAGATGACTTCTATCGACTCTTGGTGTGGGTGGCATAAAGATCACAGTTCCATGACCATATTGATTCCTGGAAAGCTTTTTGAGGATGAAAGCGACACAAAGTCTGGCGATAAACCTGGACTTTACATTCAGAGTCAAGCTCATGCTGTCCATGTCCGACTCCCCCCTACTTCCATTGGAGTGCAATTGGGAGAAACCCTGGAGATTATGAGTTGTGGACACTTTCGAGCCACACGTCACGCTGTGAAAGGGAGCAGCAATCCCAATACAGGTCGAGCAAGTCTCGCCTTGTTCTTGCAACCCTCTCTAGGCACGACCTTGCCGCAGCTCTACTCGCTAGCTGCAGACGAGTCTTTGAGGCAACGATGGCGGCCTACCTATGGAGAATTTCAGGAAGCAACCTTTGCAGCCTTTCTGTAGTTGCAGCGATTTTGGCAAATTATGGGCAGATTATGCCTATTCGTCAGCCTCAATTAATTGTATCGAAAAACTGCCAACACTTCTGTTCCGTAATCAGGAGTGACACGCCTATGCTTCTTCAAGATGCAGTACGTCTAGTAGCCACGGATATCCATGTTGGCAATAAATTACAGTATACTAGCTGATAACGTTGCTTCTCTCACTTAAAAATTACGTTTATGTGATGGCAATAATAATGGCGCCCAACATTTAGTGACATCGGTAGCTCCAAATGCCGAAGAAGCCAAAGACTCCTCAGGGACCTCCATTACAACCTACAACTCAAACTCGATATCGTCCGAGCCGGAATGTTGCAAGGTTCGGATGAAATGAATAACACGAGTCGCGCAATTTTTAGTACTGTCCAAAGCATTATGCCGTTCCAACAACTCCAAAGTATGCCGTTCCAACAACTCCAAAGAGCTCAGTGTCGGCAAATAGAGTGGTAAATGGACGGGTTTCAATGCCCAATTCCAATAGTCACTGCCTGCATGCAATTGTTACAGCTCCAACAAGTGCGTCAATTGTACCTGTAACTTGGATGACTTCTCAACATTATTACAGCTCATTAGCATTTCGTATTTCCTCCATCGTCTTTCCTCCATGTTTCCTCAGTAACGATAGCATCATTTCAAATCGAACATCTCCGTCCTCCACGTCCTGAAGTTGCAAAGCAACATCGGTCACAGTAACAGAATGCACTTTGTCCACCATGCTATCAAAATCTGCATTGACGTCGGCTCCATTTTCCAATAGCAGCCTAGCATTTTCTACATGCCCGCCAAACACGTTCCAACTCAACGGGTGCATCCGTAGTCCATCTTCCCAGGTAGAACGAATATTGGGATCCGCTCCTTTGGACAATAAAAGTGTCGTCACCTCACCATGACCATAAATTCCCGCCAAATGTAGACACGCCTCGCCATTATCAGTAGTGGCATGGATCCAAGCTATATGTTGTTGAGAACATGCAATTAAAATTATTAATAGTGCCGACCGGGTAAAAACAATGATTCGAATTTTATATATAATACAATGTATGAATAGCCACACTCCCAATTTACGGTAAAATCTCATAGCTCTGGGATGGAAGTTGACGCAGAACAATTGATTGTCTTACCTGGATTCTGCTCCAACGATCTTTCAATGATTTTTGCATCGCCTCCACTACAGGCCAACCAATAATTGTCGCCGGGGAGCTCTTCTGCCAGAGCCATTGGAAGTGTCACGAACAAAACAACGAGACAAACTTTGATGGTCCAAAGTAAAATGTGATCAATTTCGTCCATTTTCCTTCGGCGTGGAAAAATGTGTTCGTTGGCGACACCCAGAAGAAATAATATCATGCTTGCCTACTCTATGCAATAGCGAAATGGATTTGGTATCAATCACTGCCGTTCCAGTTGATGTACTGCAGTATTTTTTGAGAGATTTTGACAACGTGTTAATTTATTTTTCTCCAGCAAAAACTCAACCCGGAAGCGGGCAATGGAGGCATCTTTGGCTAATTTAGCGCAGAGTATTCCGTTGGACGAGTTAAAATTTGTGCACCTTTGTCGAACGATACACGTGTACGACGACAAACGGCGGATTATGCGTAACGTGACTGACTGGACTGCCGAGTCCCGAGCAGATATATTAGAGCGATCGAAGGCCAACGGTCGTCGTGTTGTGCCGTGTATCAGCACACACGACTAACAAGACAACATTAAATACCGCGTTAAGGTCGTGGTAACAATCCTTTTACTAAGGTAATGTACGCATCTTCTGTGGGATACGTCATTCTGATCAGAGACTCTTCCAGAGAAAAAGAAAGTAGAGTAGGTCGCGACATCGACTCCAGAGCCGCAGGACAACAGGTGCAGCACGATTTGGTCTTATTCGTCACACAACAGGTCCACGGCTGCATAGTCAAAAGGTCAACACCCCCTTTCCGATTCGATGGATCTCACAACCTCTCGCCTGGCCAGCGAACTGTAACCTATCATGAAGCATCATTGCTTCGCAGCTCTCCTTCATAGGGGTAGAATGCCGTGTATCAGCACACACGACTAACAAGACAACATTAAATACCGCGTTAAGGTCGTGGTAACAATCCTTTTACTAAGGTAATGTACGCATCTTCTGTGGGATACGTCATGTTGGAATATTGGGCTCTCAGTAGACGTACTGACGCACTTCACTACTCCGCCTCCAGTCACGACTGAAAATCGTCTCTTCGAATCTCATTAGCTCTCTTAGAGATTCGATGCAGCAACTCTTTCCAAGTAGTTTCAAGTAGTGATAATCTCACAATTTATCAATTTATTAATTCGATTACTTATCAACCAACTTCGTATAAAACTACCTTAATTGATTCAAAGCCCAATCCAGAGGCCTTGCTCCTGTGGAGCCGTCTCAGGATTTTAACACGCTCCCTCTGCGAGTCTAAAGGGCCCATTGCATGGTACAAAGTACTCAAAACGGCCCACTGAATCAAGATCCGTACATCCCTCGTCGCCGTTGAAGAAACAACCAAGTTCAGAACATGGCTGACAATCCTCCTCAGGGAGGCAACGACCCAGACCCAGAAGTTGTGGAAGAAAACCAACGACAACCTGCGCTAGCAGGCAATGCTGAGGAAGCCGCGCAAGCCAATCAACAACGCAGACAACAGGCCAACCCTCCGGTTCCCGATCTCCTAAACAACTTGATCGCAGCAGCAGCCGTCGCGGCAAACCCATTCAATCAACAAGGTCAGCAACACGGTCAGAACGCCGGTCAACCGCAAGGTGGAACCAACAATGCTGCGAATCTACTAGGGCAGCTATTGGCTCATCCACAAGGAATGAATCTACTAGGTCAACTCATCACAGGTGCGACCAATCCAAATGCGACCAATCCGACTACCCATACTCCCCAATATGGAGCTTTTCCATCGACTTCAGGAACTACTCCTATCGACATTGGAACTTCCTACGGCATCAAACAGTACTCAAAGGCAGTAGATTCGCTCTACTCTAGTGGTGAAGACAAGTTCGATTTGCAACCAGCAAGACTACTAAATTTTATCGAGAGAATCCAAACTAGAGCCCTTGAGGCAGGATGGACCATCATCTTCCAGGTTCAAAACTCTGCAAGAAATAACGCCACTGACGACTTCCTGCAACTTCATGGAAAGATCTCTATTGAAGATGTTTGACGCCATGAGCAAGCCTACCTTGTTCAAGCTGACAGTCGCAGTAAGCAAAGCTCTCTCCACTTGCAGCTCTGCATCTACAAGTCGCTCACGGAATCTGCCCAAGCTAAAGTCTTACGGGACAAAAATCTCTTCACCATCAATGGAATGAGAGGCGGATTGGCGTATCTGAAGGTGGTCCTTCTGAGGACAACTCCCGCTAGCAACTCCAATGTGAACCACATCCGAAATACATGACCAAGGTTGGATCAAACGTTGAAAAGTTCAATCTTCACGTTTCCGAACAAGTTGAGAACCTTGCCCACTATGGAGAGGAGTCCAAAGATGTCCTGATCCACCTGTTCGAAGGGTACAAGGCTGCATCTGACAAGTCATTTGTGTCATACATTGAGAGAAAAGAGGAAAAACATGAGGACAACTCCGAGACCACCAATGAACCCAAGCTCATGCAGGACGCCGGAAATTATTACAAGAATTGTGTTCGTGATCAAACCTGGAATCGCCCTGATGAAAACCAACAAGCTATCCTCTTGCTGAAGGCCGAGTTCAAGCAAATCAAAAACTCCAAGAAGTCTGAAAGCGGAAAGAAGAAAGACAATGACAAGAAGTCCGGAGGTGGTAAGAATAAAGGCAAGGGCAAAACCGGCAAAACCAACAATAAGCAAAAATCTTTGAACGTACCTGCATGGAAGACCACAGCACCAAAAGCAGAAGACAAACTTAAAGCAAAGTATGTTGACGGTGACTCCAAGCCCTGGTATTGGTGCAAAGCCCTCAAGAAATACTGCCGCCACACTCCGGATCAATGCAACCAAGATCAAAACAAAAACAACAAAAAGAACAAATCAAAAGGGTGGATTGATGCGTGCCACCGGAAGAAGCAGTCCATCAGCTTTGCAGGAGTCAATGCACATCATCAGAACGGAAGAGCTGAAGCAAGGATCAAGCATATCCAAGACATGGCACGTACCTCATTGATTCATGCGACAAAGCGAT